CCTGGAGGGCTTTTCCACTACCTCAGCTCTGTTTGAGATATATCCCATAGTGGCGGCTCCCGTGGTATGGGGGCATTTATGGGCAGGTTCGCCAGCACGTTGCTACTCAGACAACCAAGCAACTTGACACATTATTAACAAAGGCCGATCCAAATCACTGACTATTATGAGATTCCTGAGGAAACTCACTTGGTTGGCTGCATGTCATAATTTCTTCTTGTTTTGTGTTCATGTTCCAGGTGTATGTAACACGGCTGCTGACAATTTGTCTCATTTTAATTTCCAGGCTTTTCATCAGGCTTTTCAGCACTCACAGCCACGACCACTCCACTATTCCACCATCTAGTAATGGACTAGACGCTATCATGCAACATAGCAGAACATTGGCCCAATTAGCACTGTCTACTAATACCTGTAAAACTTACGACAGAGCTTTCATTTTATTTAAAAGATTCTTTTTGGAACACAACATCTTACAACCTTTCATCATGACATCCTTGTTGGGCTTTGCTTCTTTTTGCCACCTCAAACTCAAATTATCATACAACACAATCAAACTATATCTGACAGGCATCCAAAATCACATGCTAACTTTACAACCCAACAGTTCGAGTTTCATGTCCGCCTACCAAATTAAGAACATCCTTAGGGGTATTCAGAAATCTGAACCTCCACGTACGGCCCAGAGACTACCTATAGATTTCCATATTTTTAAAGACTTATCCAACTTACTAGATTTAAAACCTTTTTCCAACAGCACAAACCTTGTCATTAAAACCGCCATATACGTAGCTTTTTATGGTTTCTTGAGACCAAGAGAATTTACTGCCATCAGCACAACACAGTCCACTCACATCTTATTTCATTCACACTTAACAAAACACACGGACTCTTATATCTTGACCTTGCCTCATTCCAAAACCAGTCAACATGCACCTCCAGTAGAAGTTAAGTACTATCCTACTCACAACAGGTGGTGCCCCGTCAAACTACTGGATTCATATACCCAGCATAACAACGCATCACCAGATCAACCACTTTTCAGTCTACAGGGTTCTGTACTCACTACCACCACCTTCATGACCCACATCAGGTCCTTACTTACCCAACTGTGCCTCAAATCAGCTAACTATTCGGGCCACTCCTTCCGCATAGGAGCGGCCTCCACAGCATCCAGTGCAAACATCCCAGTTCATGTTATCAAGTCACTGGGGCGCTGGAAATCATCAGCTTACTCTAGATACATACCTAACCCGGTACAAGAAGTAAGAAATGCTTTTCAAAACATGTCTGGTTAAATGTACGTATATTGCTGGTATGTAATAAATTAGATTTTCTATATTTGCCCTCTTTATTTACAGGCCTACCTCATTGTCGGTTCCGGCACACCACAACCGACTTGCGCTTTTAATACCATCCTACACTTATCGGTGTTTTGTTTCTTCTGTACTATCATGAGCCCTTACCACAAATATTAAGGCCTTTTGGCCTGTAATTGTGGGAGGGGCGTATGACACACAGCTTCCCTACTTAAGGGACACCCCTTACCTGGCTCCATACTGTTCGAGGTCAGCGCTGCATCACCCTCCCACCACTCCTCATTATTAACTCTTTTCTCTTCACATTTCTTCTTGGTGGGCCCTCTTTATTTACAGGCCTACCTCATTGTCGGTTCCGGCACACCACAACCGACTTGCTCTTTTAATACCATCCTACACTTATCGGTGTTTTGTTTCTTCTGTACTATCATGAGCCCTTACCACAAATATATATATATATAAGTAAATAACAAATTATGTGTTATGTATTAAAATGAAGAGTTTGTAGGACAACCCATTGTACTTCTGGTTTTCATGCAAACTGCATTTTAACAGTAAACTAAAAAAATAACATTGCAAGAGTAAAAAAAAAATGTATTTGTGCTTTTGATTAATGGCAGCATTTACATGTAAATATATGGTATCTAACATTACCTCAACATATAAAGTGTTTATATAAAGGTTAAAACTGTTCCCTTAAAATTACAGAATAAGATGTATAATTTCATTTCAACGGAAGCCATCCAATAACAAAATTCTAAAGAACTGTTCCAGATACCTATAATGATATAGTTTTAAATATTCTTTCACACTTTACATGTTAATACATTGTAAACCATTTACACTACAAGCTATTATCATTTCCTAACTGTTTGCTTCCTGCATATCCTCTAGGGGGCGCCCTTGGAGCACTTTTTTTTTGCAGAGCCTGGACATTTCTCTGTGATATGTGAAGTTTGCTGCCATGTGATGTGAAAACATGCTATGCACTGATCAAATATTACAGAATTTTGTGCATTTTAGTATCATTTTTATATTTATATCGGAGATTCAAATTTTATGTATCCAGAAATGCCTATTTTAGTTAGTATATTTTTGTACTTATGCTGTGTGTAATACCATGTTTGTTTTTTTATTACTGTATTCATTTATTTGTTACTTTGTTACTATATAATATAATGCTATGTGTTTTACCTGTAAAATGGTCTTGCTTAACTTTTTGTATTTTCGATAGTAAGGAAGCCCAATACTCTGTTTAGTTGTTTTGAGCCGGGAGTGCCATGCATGCCTGCATTGAACGGTTCTTCAAGGCACTGGTGAATTGGCTACAGTAAGTTGAAAAGTTTAAAAAATGTTGTTTTTTAGTCAGGGGCAGAAGGACCATATCTCCCAGCTCACACTCCCCCTTTTAAGCTGTGACCTTGGCATAAAGGGCAGTTCGAATACCGATCATTGGGAGAGGGGCTTTCTGCCACGGCAGGTGAACAGGAACTGAACTTTGGTTTGAGAGTTCTGCAGGAGGGTTGGTGGCCTTTCAGCCGGCGTTACTTTCAATGTTCTTCAATTTTGATTAATTTAAAATAAAAGCTGTGGCCAAGCCCTTTTCCCCTTACTCAGTGGTTATATTTGTATTTCCATTGGGAAAGGGGTCTGGGCTGGTTGAAATAAGGTTTTAGGTTGGCCTTTGGCAGTCAGGAATTTTACATGATATCCATGATAGCATATTTCTTCAGTAAATTTATGCACAAAACTCTGGACATAATTTCTCCTAGAGAAGATTATTTTCTACTTAATTTAGAATTGCATGCAAACATTTTACAAAATGTAGCATATTTACTATAGCATCGTCCTTGATGAGAATTATTACTTCAATATCTTTATTCCAGTGATTTCACTATTATCTGCAGACCTGATGCAACTAGTTTTAAATCAGTAAGCCTAGGAAAGAATTCATGGTGTGCTAGAGTCCTGTTAGTCGATTTTTTACAAGCTGATTAAAAGTTAAGTCTTATTTTGGATTTTCAGAGTCCTGAGTGTGCTATCTGATCTTTTTCTTTGTATTTTGCTGGACAAGCACCGGGCAAACAGTGCTATATAAACTTAGAAACATAGAATGTGACGGCAGTTATGAACCATTCGGCCCATCTAGTTCAATTTTGTTTTTTAAATACTTTCATTATTCCCTGGCCTTATCTTATAGTTAGGATAGCCTTATGCCTATCCCATGCATGCTTAAACTCCTTCACTGTGTTAACCTCTACCGCTTCAGCTGGAAGGCTATTCCCTGCATCCACTGCCCTCTCAGTAAAGTAATACTTCCTGATATTATTTTTAAACCTTTGCCCCTCTAATTTATATATAAATACATGTATATGGTTTTTCTTTGAATTATAGGAGTCACTTTGTAATGTTTTACTATTATGATATTCTAGATACTGTAGATACTGTAAATTATAATAGAATGACTGCTAGGTTATAAATAACATATTCCATGATAAGGGTATGTCATTTTGTAACAAGTAAAAACAAATAATAATTATTATTATTTATGTAGGCTTTTTATCCAGAATAATTTATGGAGTTAACTAATTGTTGGCAAAATGTCATTCACTTGTTGCAGAGTTCTTTACTATAGTATGAATAGTCGGAAATTTAAAGGGAATTTCAAAATTCATGTCAAAGAAGCTCAAATAGAAAAAGTCATTTATTTTGTCCTACAATGTGAAATTTCTTTGAATTCACTTTGGAGTTCTGACAATACACACTTTGCTGATATAAAGCTGTCAATGTTTTTCATTTATTCTTATCAGAAGTGTCTCTGTAAACAAGTGAGGATCCATTTTTTTCATGAGATGTTTAATCCCAAGAGTATTTGAGTCAAAAGGATTGCTCAGACTTTCATACTTGCCCTGCAGGACATTTCTCTGAAAAGTCTCATACTTTCTGTAATTTCAAACTAACTGTGAATCGGAGGTACTTTTAGTCTTGATTTCGGTTTGACCATTATCTTCACTGAACGCTTTTTCAAAAATAGACTGGATTGAGGTCCTGAAGGTCGTCTTGAAATCTCGACCTATGAAGACGTAGAGGAAGGGGTTGATACAGCTGTTGAAGAAGGCTAGGCTGGACGTAATTGGACCCCCAATTTCTACCGCGCTTCTCAGGGAGTCATCCTCACTTTCATTGTAGGCCACTTCCAAAAATGAAAAAACATGGTATGGAAACCAACAGATAAAGAAGGAAAGCAGAACAGCTATAATAATTTTGAAGGGTTTGGTTGATGATGCCATGCGATTTCTGTGAAGTCGAATTACAATAATAGTGTAACATGAAAAAATAATAGTGAAAGGGATGAAGAAGCCAAAGATAAATCGAGTAATCACGGTAGCTTTGAGCCTTAAAAGGTGCAAATCATAATCCGTGTCATGAAAGTTGTTGAAACACCTGATCTGTCCCTCGTCACCAGCTGCATCTCGAAAGATAAAATATGTTAAACTAAAAAATATTGCAAGAATCCAAACAATTATGGCCACTATAAAAGCCATGCGGGGTGTCCTGTGGTTCTGTGCCCATACAGGGAA